CTGACAATCCTTATTTAGTGAAGAATACAGTAACGGTAAATAGTAATACAGATAATAATCGGCGACAACGTTTGCTAAATAAGTAAGGAATTAAAGAAACTTCCGTATGATAAAAACAATATTTATCTCTAAATAAACTACAATTACATATATCATTATTTATAAGTCATACGGGGATGATGATTTTAGAGAAATAAAATGTGATTTCAGTTTAAATTTAATATATTAGAGTCTCATTTATCATATTAACAAATTAAATTTTGAATTGAAACTGGTGCACTGTTTATATTTCCCCAAAAAAATTGTAGATTATCATGTTATCGTTCTATACTCAATTATTACTTATTCTGTGGGGTGAGTCAAACAAATTGCAATTGTACCCCATTTATATTTGGAAATTCGTTCAACATAAGCTTCTCTATCAAGTTAGTAAATATATTGTAAATGAGTGGTTAACAAGCATTTAAATTAAATTTTAATTATTTATTAAGTTCTGAACGTTTGTATACCGAATAATAAATAGTAAAGGCAAACAGGTTCTTTTTTTTCGCAACAAAATGATATTTCATTTTTTCTTTTATGTATCAGTTATATTAATAAAATGAATATTTAATAATTAAAAATTTATGTTTGATAATAAATAAATATAATAGTAAAATTATATTTTTATGGTGCATAAAGTCATCAAATGTTTGTATTTTTTAAAATGGATAAATTTCTTTACTAAGTAAATACAAATTTAATCCGTAAATTTGATAGAATATGTCATTTCTGAGCTTATTTACGGATTGAAGTTTATATTTACTTATTAGTAAAGAATTTCTTAGTAAAATTAAAAACATTTATATAAAGAGAAAAACTTGCATTTTTCGTATTTTATTATATTTTATTGATAATTTTTTTGCAATTCCATTATGTTTGATTGCTACTATATAATTATTCATCTAATCTCTTTTTTGATTCATAAATAATTGCTTATTAATTATAATTTAGATTATTTATATTATTATCTAGAATATTTTTTTATTTTATATATAAATATAATCGTTCTGATTTTTCAATTTATTATAATATTATAGATGCAATTATTTTTATTGCTTAAGCTTTAAAATATTATTGAATTCAATTCAAAAGCCAGGAATTTTATCTTCTTACAAAAATTTAATAAAGTATTGACAATTTTTATGGTGCTGACATCTAAAGTCATCAAACATTTGTATTTATAAAATGGATAAACTTCTTTACCAAGAAGTAAATATAAAATTTAATCCGTGAATATGCTCAGAGAAGGCCTATTCTATCATATTCACGGATTAAATTTTGTATTTACTTCTTAGTAAAGAAGTTTATCCATTTTATAAATACAAACGTTTGATAATTTTAGATTTTTATGCACCATATTTATTCTATTTTATTAATTGAAAAAATATTATTCCATAAAAACTTATTAAATTTATTAATAATATAAAAAATTTCAGAAATCAAGCAATAACTAGTTTAAATACTTTATTTTATATATTAAGTAACAAAATTATAATTTAAAAATGATAATTTTATTATAACTTGATTTCAAATACATATTAAATATTAAAAAATTATTATAATAAGAACATAAATTTTATTAATTTGTAAATTATTGAAATTCCAACAAAAAACTTTTAATAATAGTTAAAAATAACAAAATCTTCAAACTAACTTATTGAATTCCAATTTATATCTTTTTACAAATTATTTACAAATTATTTACAACTTTTTATATTACTTTTTTTGTAACTTACTTATATTTTTTATAATTTTAATTTTATTTTATATATTTTTCAATCTTAATAAAAAATTATATAAATAAAATTATTATTTGAAATCTGTACTAATATATTGTAAATTGAAAAAATATTTAATAAAATAAAATCTTCTAATTGAAATTTATAATACTTAATATTTATACAATTACAAAATCATTAATATTAATATTAATAACTTAAATTATTTTTTAAAACTTTAAGAGATATGAATTTATTTGATTTTAAATACGCAGAAATTCTCTTCTTTATTATATATGATTTATTTGAATTTTTTTCATTATTAACTTTATTAATTTTAAAATCTCTTGAAATCCATATAGATTATTAGTATTATCTTTACAAATATCACTAAATTGTTCTAAGGATTTAGATTCTTATATAATAATAATACTTTAGTCAATACTTGTTTCTCTGTAACTTTTCAAGTGTTTCAAGCTGCTTATTAATTTTTGCTATTCTTGAATCAATTCATTTTCTATTTTTTTAGATTTTTTTTCACAAATATATATGTTATCGAAGCCAATTTCTCCCATATTAACCACTTCATTAGTAGTTGTTTTAAGCTTTTATGGATCCCTGTTTGTTAAAGAATCGGCATTTACAATGTTGGCTTCTTGGGAATATAAAACTCATATTGTAGTTCAAAAAAGATATATCGATATACTGCATATCGAATTAACGCTAATTTCCATTTTCCTAAATTAAAAGAATAATACTTACATGACATGTATCTCAATGGTCACATTCTGATTTAGCTGAAAATTGGTATCTATGTAATTTTTCGGAATTTGCCTCGAAAACAAAATATTTGGAGTTTGAAACTAATTAAAAAATTCATGTAGATCACTTAATTTCCTAAAAATTCACTAACGCTAGGGGCATTAATTTTTTTTGTAAAACTTTTCGTGATCCAGAATTTTCGTTTTTGAGTGCCACTATATATGATGCTTTTTCTGAGGATATTGTATTTGAAATTTTACAAAAACTTCAAGCTCTTTGTGGTAATTGGAATGAGCAATATGTGCGAACATATTGGAATAACAATCGTTACAATAAGCAGAAGAGGAATTCTGCAAACTTGCATAATCACGAAGATAATATTATACCAATACATATCTTCGAAAACAAAAACACGAAATTTTCTCAATATGAGTCACAAAAAAAAACTGAGCAAGCCAACTTAATGTAGTTATAATATTAAACAATTTCTCTAAAATTAGAATCTCACTTTTTTCTGTTAAAAAGTAACGTAACAAAAAGTATATGACTATAATTTTTTTAGATACTTACGCAATCAATTTATGTTATTTCTTGCCAACTACGAATAAGGATAAGAATAATGTCAAAAATTAAAGAATCTCGTTCAATAGTTTATCTCAGGTATAATAAAACAGAAATTTGATGAAATAAAAGGTGTTTGCATAGTACAATTGATTACTAACAAACAGGCAAGAATTCTAGCTATCTATTTTGTATCGTTAAAAGTTTCATAGCTAAAGAAGGAGTCTATATAGCGTACGTTAAATGTTATCAAAAAAATTTCACATGTATGTAGTTTGAATTCCATGTTACTGTACAATGGGTTACCGGAAATGACCGACCATCCCAAAAAATTATTAATAAAACATAGTGAATAAAGATAATAATGCATTTTATTATAAAAAATTTTACACTCATTTTGCAATCAGAAATTAAATTTAAAAAATTATATGCTAAATAATTATTATCTTTATTCTTGTATAAACTAAAAAAATATTTAAAGGGAAAATTTTAATTTTCACTATGTTTATTAATAAATATTTAGGATGTCAGTAACCTATATCTGATTTTTTATGGCGTACCAAAAACGAATACAGTACATGTATTTTGTCGTAAAAATACCCGAATATTTATATGGAATAATTTTTTTCTCTAAAGATAATACCCGGGTATGATAAGTTTTGGAACCATAATTTATATCTTAAACAGTTGGGTTTTTAAAGAGCATTTTTATTTTATACCACTGCATGGTTAGATATAGCCGGTGTGTTGATGAGCCAATGGACTGGAACACTGGACCAGAGAATAGTCCATTGATTTATTGTTACAATGAGAACCAATTAACTTGGTCCATTAGTAACTGAAAATAGAACATGGACCAAAGCCCATTAGTCCCATTTTAACCTATAATTTATTATATGGATTAAACTACATGTGAAACCAGTGACAAATTGAATAATAGTTCTTTGACAAAAATAGGAGGAAAAAATGCAATTTGCGTATGATGTAGTATCGGTATTGGTATTGTTTCCTGTTACATGTAAAACTATCGTTACCAAAGTAACGCGAATTTCGTTAATTCCATCACTTTTCACATATAGCTAATTAGAGTTTCTTTCTTATACAAGTATAATGCGACTTTTATTAACATTAAACTTTTATTGGTCACATAGTTTATCAGATAAAATTATTTATAATTTATCTAATAATTCATGCCATAATTTATTTATTCTATGATAATTTATACAATAATTTTCTTAATAATTTATGTGTATTTAAACAACTCTAAAAAGTCCAGAAGGTGTGCTTTTAAAATCCCAAACAAATAATTCCCTGGTTCACCACCCCCATAGTTCATAATAGTAATTCGTTACTCGTGAATAAAGATCCACATTAATCTGTTGATCGGTAACACTACATGTAATTAAAATATCGTGTTATAAAATATTAAGCAGTGCTCTACAGTAAGCAGCAGGAGACATTGCCTTTCTTAGTAATTTTTTAATTATCACTTTTGAGCTGTGGGCTTTTCGTGCACAGTTAACTTCCATCAGTTTTTTATAAATACGGTTTTGTCCGTATTCTCAAACCATGATTATTTCTTTTCCTCGTGATATTTCTCTTTAAATTCCTCTTCTGTGGACAATCACTAATAATTAGTTCGCCAAGCTTTCCGTTATCGCAACTTAACGCAGTCGAACGAGGACAATTTCCGCTTTTCAAAAACAAATTCAAGAGACATGTGAGTTTCATAGTCATGCTAGACAATATGCTTTTCAAGAATAAGAATAAAAATAGACTTATAGACATGGTAAAATACAATAAAAAGCGTATTGTCTAACAGCAAGAAGTATTCCAGACAGAAATTTTCTTATCATTATCAATTTCTTATTATTCTTCACTTTTCAATTAACAAGCAACATCGAATAAAACATAAAGATGACTATCTTCAAACAATTTTTTGTGGTCACTTTGATTCTGGCAATCCGTCTCTTCATTTCATCTGACGCAATCCCTATCGTCGACTCCGGCGTCACCTACGATAATACTGGCGGCACTCGCATCAGCGACAATGGTATCATCGTCGGAAACGATAAAAACGTCGACATCGGCAACGGCGAAGGCGTCCAAAACACAGGCGTCAACATCGGCAACGGCCACAAAGGCGTAGGCAACGATGGCTTCACTGTCAAAAACAGCGGCATCAACATCGGCGACGCCTACAGTGGCGACGGCCTAAATGGCGGTTTCGGCACCGCTAATAGCGGTGTCAACATCGGCAACGGCTACGGTGGCAAAGGCGTTAACGGTGGCCATGGCGGCTACGGCATTGTTAATAGCGGCACCAACATCGGCAACGGCTACGGTGGCACCGGTTACAATCCCGGTGGCTACGGCGGCTACGGCATCTTTAACAGCGGTACCAATTTAGGCACTGGCTTCGGCGGCAAAGGTATCGGCAGCGGACATTAGTTATATAAGCTTGTTGAAAGAAAAGCAAATATTATCGCAGCATTATGATTCTTTTTCGTGACTCTGTATAAGAGTGCTATTGTAGATTACATATTTCTTATTTAATGAATTTTTGGCTTTAAGAGGTAGCGGTAATCTCAACACTGAAATTTATTTGAAGAAAACAAATTTAACGATTTAAAGAGCGCAAATCATTTCGAGATTCATTAAAGTTTATAAATGAGATACATTTTTGTTTTCTAATAAAAATAGTTTCAGTTTATAAGGGGAGCGCCAAATATCAGGTGATTCTTAGGGGGTTGTTGTTGATCATCAGGTTATACAATATTATGACTCATCTTGATCAGGTGGGATGGGTAGGTGTCTCTTCTCTGATAAATAAAAATCACCTGATATTTGGCGCTCCCCTAACGATCACGATGTTAATCATTTTCTAAGAGAATGATCAACTGTTCCAATAATCGAATATATCTACTATCTGCTATGCACCCAGCT